TCTAAATATGGGACCCAGGATAATAGCCAACCCCCCAAAGTTGTTTAATGCACAAATACTTAAAATAGAATTATAAGGTTTTTATCCACCTTGACTGGACTAGCTTAATATGTTCTCTAACTTGTAACATAAATTCATTTTGACAGTCGAAGGATGGATTCTTCCTAAACCCCTCCCCTGTAAAAATTAGAATATCGAAGTATGGGATCCAGGATGTTAGCCCGCCCCCGGGCAATGTACTCTTATTTACAAATACTAATGAGAGTATTTTACGGCGTTTTCCAATTTTGACCGGGCTAGGTAAATATGTTCCCTGCTTTATAACATACATTCCTTTTGTCAGTTGAAGGGTCCCTCACAGACCCCTCCCCTGTAAAAATATTAAGTTCTAAATATGGGATCCAGAATGCTAGCGAGCCCCAGGCATAAGGTTTCCTTCTTAGTGGTATTATATCCATTGTCATCATTTTGGTCAGGCTAGCTGCCTTGATTTGGGGTCCACACTCTTCTACATAAAGTGATGTCTTTGCTTTTCTTCTTTAACAAGGTTTTTTATGCGTGATTAAATTTTTTGGAAAAAGAATATTAAAACATTTACGGTAGGGAACCGGAAGACAGCCTGCGATTCGATCCCGATTGATAATAATCAATAGGGAATAGGGAATAACCTTCCAACTTTTGATTGCCATATTATCATTATTCCAATCTAGAAATGTAAAAATATTTGGTTCCTTTACTCAGCATTCAGTGAAAACTCCTGTGTAATGTATTTGCTATTGTATTTGCTAGCATTATAGAGTAACAAGCATGTTTTGAAAAATTGGAGAGACATCAGCAATTAGTAGGCATTGTCATAGTCACACTGTCCCAATTACTATGAAGAGGGGGCAGGATATCTTTGTGTTCCTTCAACTTTTAAAAATATAAGTATTATTATGAAACCGCTATTATAGACCGACAATAAAGAATAATTTAAGTTTTATAGTTAAATCTCTGTTGTTTTTTCTTCCTTTTTTAAATACTAGTATTTTTTTTTTTTGGCTAAACCCACCCTCTCTTTTCCTTGAAGAATAAACCTTTTTGTCTTGGCTACATTGAATCACATATTATTTTACATTATTCTCATTGGAATAGTATTACATGCTTTAATGAATTAAAGACCGAGAAAAATGGGTAGTTGCCATTATTATTTTGGTCATAAAATTTGTATTATTTGTTTTCAAAAAAAAGAGATGATTGCTATCAAGGAGGAAAAAAAAATATTGAATTATTACTAGATATCTTTTTTATGCATTAGAATGATGTGAATGATATCTTCTTCAATAGGGATAATTTAAACGATCATGCCCCAACTTCTTCAATATGTTCTTCTTTATAATCATACAAGAAATATTTAAATCTTTATTCATGGAAAATTGTGCATACGTGTGCAATCTGTGATATGTGGCGTTCTTAGAATTCCTACGCCTTAGTAATTAGTTTGAGAAAAATACAGGTATATTCAAACTTTTCCCTTGAAATACTAGCATACCATATTTATATTAAAATTAAAAGTCAAAACAGATAACATGCCGATAAGATCATACAAAGTAAGACAATGTAAATAATATTAGCACAAGTGTATATACCTTTTCTCTTCCTTGTACGAGAGTGGGAAATCACATTCTATTTTGACAACATCAATATTATAAACATAGTGATACCTTATATATGCTATCTATACCAGACGTGTTTCTTTTAATTCTGTATCCTTCTAGAGAGATTATATTTAGTATATTTCCAAATAATAATAATATGATTATAAAAAAATCCTTTGTTATTGCAAAACATGTATTTATTTTGATCATGTAAATGTTACTGCATATGTTATATCGGGATAAATAAATAAAAAGTAGGAAAAGTGTTTACAACTATTGTATTCATATTGTCAGATTTATATGTCACCTTGTCATATAACATCTTTCACCTTGTCATATAGTAATATGGACATATTATTAGCTACAGTGAGTTAGTGACCTAATACGGATTCATACAGGGTGTGAAATGGACATCCGTATTGGGCGAGGCGAAGCCGAGTCCCAATACGGATTTCCATTTCACACCCTGTATGAATCCGTATTTGGTCACTAACTGACTGTGTTACGAATTTATTCCGCTGAAGACCTTTTTTCAATATTAAAAAAATATTTTGCATATTATGGAAATATCAAGTTTTAATCCAAAAACAATAAACATAAAATATCGTTACGGTAACAAAAAATTTATCTAAACTACCTTAGTAAACCGTTTCTTAGCCGCCATTTTTATTTACAAAAGCAACGCTTCGAACATATATAATCGCATGCGTGATTTACATATTACTCCTAGACGGTGACGTAATACGTAAAATATCAGGGCGTCATGTGATCAGACTTTATCCAATCAGCAAACTACAAATTTGTCTGAAGCGGGGAAAATGGTATATATATATATAAAGATGTGCTCCAAAAGTGAAGATAATTTTATTTGTTATCTATATATTTATATCTATATATTTCATTGAAAACACCATTTTTTATATATACAATAATTTGTATTTAATATTTCATTTTTATCACTATAGCCTTCTGGCTGCACGAAAGATCTTATCATGGAGACATAGTTAGGACGGATAGTAGAGAGAGTGACAGAAAAATCCAAGACAACCTATCTACCTTATCTACCTTAAAAATAACTAAAACAGGTGAAGCTCTATTGTTGCAGTTATATGTGATCTTACACCCTGAACCGGTTTCCAAGTTTTTTATCAATTGAATTGAAATTTATTTGGCTGAAAATATTACACAATGTCATACACATCCTTTTAAAAAAACAAATAAAAAAACAAATTGAACGTTTAAGATGAAAGATAAAAATATTTGACATTGGTCATATTGGTGTGAAAATGTTAACAAACGTTTCTGATATAGTCATGTATTAACAAAAACTATTGAATAATTATACATGCACTCGGTACCTTGCAGGCTATTTGCATATAAAAAATACTGATATAAAGACATCAATGTGTCTTAAAGTTTTTGGAGTGTCATACAAATAAAAACAAAAATAGATAATAGAATTATTAATTATATTTATTATGTTTATTGTAAGATCATATTGTTTTACATGTTTTCATGAAAGTATGCGAATGGTCAGTTTATATCTTTGTGGCAGCTTGCCCTTTAGGTAAATATGGAAAAAATTGTGACGAAGAATGTTTGCCAAACTGTAATGGCTGCAACGGATTCAATGGTACCTGTGACTTTGGATGTAACGACGGATGGAAGGGAACGTCTTGTGAAAGTGGTATTTAAAAAAATACTATTTTTCATTTTTAATTTGCGGGGACTTTTGCTTTTTTTCTTTGAATTTGATTTGATCTCAGCTTTGGAGAATTGAAGCTCTAACCTAATAAAGGTTGTTGTGTTTTATTTTATTTTGTTTGTTTGTTTTTTAAATACTGCATTATTGGAATTCATGCCTTTGCAAATATTTCCATGCATTGCAGGAGGTTGTTATTGGTAAATATTTTCACTTTAAATCAAAAGTACTTTTTCTATGAATTAAAATAATATTCCATCATATGATTATAGATGTTACTTTTCGTCTTGTATAATCATATGTATTATGTTGTAGAATGTGATGGACTGACGTATGGTCAGAATTGCAATCAATCATGTGGCTCCTGTTTGAAGTCAGAACAGTGTCATCACATAAATGGCACATGTTCAGATGGGTGTGACAGAGGTTATGAAGGGGAGATGTGTACAGAAGGTAGGAAAGTGTTAAATAACTCCACCAACTATAGTCGCCTGAGTGGCGGAATGGGTACCGGCTCGAATAAGGTCCCTCGCTGCTCAATTGCCCTGAGTGCCGAGTATAGGACAAGGTTTGCAGCTCTCCACCGGTAGTTGATGGCGTCTAAATATAAGATTCTCGAGATGGACGTTACACAATATACAATCAATCAATTCACGAACTATAACAATAGGTTTTTGTATTATTAACGTCACAGCAAATTGACTAAGATAAAGATCTAGAACTAGAAGAATATTTTAGACCAATAAAATAATTTGTGTTTGATATAGAGGTAAACATCTCTCTAAAAATGTTGTTATATACTTGTATTTTCTAAACAAAAAATTTATATAAAAAATAAATTGAACAAAAATATAGAAAGTGCTGGGGGCAGGTTTAATTTCTACTCGTTTAGAAAATATTTTACGAGTAATTAAACTTACCAGTTTAAGAAAGGGTATTTTCCACTCTTAATTGCGATTTTTACAAATATGGACAAACAACACAAAATCCCCCAGCAATATTTAGTTAGAGGACATACTTCTCTTGTAGATCCACACAGAATATCTTCAATTTGTCTCTGTTTATCACTTGTGCCAGTCCAATATAAACACGATTCATAAATTCTAATTCTGTCTACGGACGTGTAAGGGGAGCGTTTCACACGTAATGTTTTGCTATCGTTTGAATATGTCCATATCGGACAAGCAAAAGGAATAAGATATTTAAATTTCAAACATTGAATATCATAACAGCACACTCGAGCTTAAAAAACAATCCTAACACTTGAATTAAAGTCCACAAAATTAATCTACATGTCATGTAAAATTTATTACACTTTCCCCGTTATGTCAGCTCAAGTATGCAGTGACTTGACGTCATACTCTATCATGACGTCATATCTAGGTAGTTCAGAGAAGTAACTGCAGTTTGAACAGTTTGATATTTTACGAGCAGCCTTATCTAAGCTGCGTAAAGCATACATCTTCTCATGTCGTATCTCATACATGTAACTTAAAATAGAACTTTTTTAAAACTTTGAACACAACCGTTTGTCAATGTAACATTAAATACAACAGTTCACCTACAGTTGAATGAACACATCAAACAACTTTCAAAAAGACACTAATATATCAATGAATAGTTTATATTGATTCTTGTTTTTAGTATTCCTTTCTTTCTAGAATGTCCTGAAGGATATTATGGCTATAATTGTCAGGACATGTGTAGCATTAACTGTGGCGTCCCTGGTAGATGTAACAGAGTGACAGGGGAATGTCAAGGTGGATGTCAGGCAGGGTGGAAGGACCTTAGATGTGACAAAAGTAAGCATTCGGTAAACAAAATGTTATAGATAAAACACTCGATGTCATTTTCCAGAAAGACGAATAAATAACCAAACATGATATTCGTAAATAATGAGTATGGATTATTGCTGTAGGAATCATTTGAAATTGACAAAAATCTGAGAATATTGCTAGAAAGATTACTTTATATGTATATAGATAAATTCATTTTTTGTATTTCTGTTATTTTTTTATCATGAAAAACCAATAATAATTTTATATGTACATGAACTTTCCTGTAAAACATACATGTTTTTTTTTTAAATGAGCACATTCTTTTTTTTTTATTATGACTTTATACAAAAATTTTATACATTAAATTTTAAAGGCAATATTTTGGTAACAATCTAACAATCTAATATTTCTAATAGAATGTGATGGGGGAAGTTTTGGACTAAACTGTAATCAGTCATGTGGAATTCAAAATTGCTTTAAAAGTGAACAATGTCATCACATTAATGGGACATGCTTGAATGGCTGCAATAAAGGTTACCAAGGAGACACTTGTACACAAGGTGACGTATACATAAAATCCTTTCATAAATACTGCAGATTATAATTGTACGATTATTGCTAAGCAAATTAAGTGAGCATCCCCTGCTGACCGGCCACAGCCGCCGCGCGCTTCTTGTCATGTATAAACTCCTGGTGACATAGATAAGCTGCTGCAAATGTAAGGAAGTTAACGATTTAATTTTTTTAATCAATTATTTACAACAATACTGAAAGGCATAAATTTACATGAATATGTGCCGTGTTGGAATATATAATTACCTTTAAATGGTCACTCATTCAGATATCGATTTAGAAAATATATAGTTAATTACATTATAATACAAAAAAAATGTTTAAGAGGGGGGTCATTTTTTTATAAGATGATAGATCATCACACCCAGTTAACGTTTCTTGACATAGTCTCCTCCCCGTTGAATGATGGATTTTAAGAGAACATACATGTATAATTCATTGTTCAGAAAAAATGAACCTTTCAATGTGTACTTAGAATGCAATTAATATAAAATTCCAAATGTGACCGTAGGTTTTAACATTTTTACAGTAATTTATATGTTATCCGACGTATTTCAACCTTTGTGATATACAGAAATTAGAGTTTATATGTATTCTATGGAGTTTGTCAATTTAATCCGATAGGATAATAAATAGAATTGATTTTACTTGCTCTTTAACACCAAAAAAAAATGAAAAAAAGAAGATAAACATATTTCACATGTACATTTACAGTTCAATACGTATAAAGCAATTACGGTTATAATGATTTGACGCTTTTAACGAGTGAAGTTCTAAGTAAATTGATATGCTTACGAAAATATCCAATTACGTATACGTATATTCCAGGCAAATCAAGGCAATTCTTAATAAGTATGATTTACTGTATATGTCATCGTGAATTATTTTGATTAATTTTTCAGTTTGTCCAAATAGACGGTATGGATACAACTGCGAAGAAACCTGTACCAACTGTAGCGTTGTCAGGAGATGTGATGCAATATCAGGGAAATGTAACGGTATGTAAGCACAATCCATTATCGGAAAAAATATTGTATATTGCAACCGAATTTGACTTTGTTCACTAGATCATGGAAATACTCTGAATTCAAAGACGTATTTTTCTTAAGTGTACAACTTTCTCTTTTACATGTAAATATTAAAATGACATTGTTTAATGCTGAGGATGAAAGGGGTACTGACTGATGTTACTTTGATAAATGCTCAAGCCAGACTGGATAAATACTAACATGTAATATTGCGTAACGTAAAATTGCCCCCCAACCCGGAAAAAAAAATCCTTATGTACTTTAAATTCGTCAGCAGATAACATACTAGATTTTTTTTTCATCTGCAAAATTAAGTGCTTCCTTTAATTATTTTCACAAAAGATAGATAATTTGTATACTAATAACATGCAGATTATAAATGTAAGATTAATTTTTTTTATAAGACTAATGTTTAAATTACATTTTTGCAGTGATGAAAGGATCATTAAATTCTGATATAAGTGATGAGAACCTCTACTTTGTGTATGGAATGATATCTTCTCTTTGCACAAGTGTTGGCTTAAATGTCGCTTTAATTATATGGTGAGTTTTTGTGCATTCCCTTCCTTTTCACCTCCATCCTATTTAATTATTTTAAATATCTTCACAACTTTTATCTGTTCACTTTTTTCTAAATTAAAGAAATAAGATATATTTTAGGAGCTGTAGAAAGAAAACGCGAAAAGGAAAGACTAACCAAGAGAAAATAACTACACCAACACCTAGAAAACTGACCACACAGATCAAAGTTAAAGAACGTGTAGTACGAGTACATGACGACCTGGATAGAACACATATATCCACAGAACCTTCCAAATTGAAAACACAGATCAAAGACGAAGTTGAAGAGAGTGCAGTATATGAAGACCTGGATCAAATTGAAATATCCACACAACCTTCCAAATTGAAAACACAGATCAAAGACGAAGTTGAAGATGGTGTAGTATATGAGGACCCGGATCAAACAAGTTTACAATCTATTTATGAGAATTATGACATCTGAGTGATGTTGCAGTATTTAAATTTGAGCCTTATACATGTACAATATAACTTTAATGTAAACATTTTCATACATGTAACTTTGTGCTTATGTTAATTAAAACAAAGAAAGAAGGGAACATTCAAATCTAAAGAAAAAACTAAAGTGTTTAAATATAAACCAGCTTTTGTTTGTTTCTTGATATTTCTTTTTATTTTCTCAAAAAGTAGAATAGAATGTTCATTATGATTACCTGTGCTATTATTTATGAAATTAATACTTATTTCAATATATATCATCACCTGTGCCATTGTGAATAAATTTTATTTAAAAAAATGATTTGAATGATACTCGTTATAGCCTAAACTGAATGACTCCTAATTTTGATCCAATTCCTTATCAAGAAATTGCATTTTCGTATAAAAAATTACCGTAGATGGCATTTCCAAGAATAACACACTATAACAATGATTTTTTTTATTAACAAAACTATTTTTTAATATAATACAAGCCTCTGAATCAAATGCCAATTTGTACATGTTTGACATGAGAAATTTACAACCTGACCTTATATCAGTTGATAGAGTTTTGTAATAAATTAGACGATTAATAAACTTAATTCTTTTGACTTCCAAAGTTTTTTTCTTAATTAGCTAACTAAATTTTGTGTAGGCAGATCCACATTGGAATACATAGTCCGACACGCTTGATTGTCAGGTCAGCCTCAATTACCTTACTTAAAAGCGGGTGCGTGAACATAGTCTATTTCAGTCTTTTCATGAATGAATAACTAATGGTGTTAGTCGATTTTGGGAGTAAATGTATAGGAAAAAAGTATGTAGAAAATTTTAGCGAATTCACTGCTTTAGTGCTCCTTGCCCACATACGATATGTTATATCTACAATGTGATAAATATACTTCCCGAAGCTCGAAATTCAGGCTAGAATAGCATATCCTTTTTAATTTCATGAAAGCTTTCACACCCATTTAATATAACCTTAAATTCCAAGGAAAAGGCGCAAAGTTTTCATTCCTGACGTTTGGTGCGAAGCAAGCTTACATTTAAAAAAAAGTTAGAGTCAGCAGCTGGAATACATACAGTTTCTATCTTTCTTGTGATGATATATAATTTGTTTTTGTTGTATAAAAATCATTGTAATGTAAGTTACATTAACCTTACGTTTTCTTATTTTGTAACTTTATTCTGTACATAAATGTAATAAAGCATATAATACGTTTTTATGAGACTGCCTCAAAATCGTTCATTTGATAAATATTTTAAAAATCTGCAAAAATCTATATACGAAAGAATGTTTAACTTTTCAAATTTTCAACAGAGGCTCACACTAACTTGAAGAACATTTGCAGCTCTTTTTTTCAGCAAGTCAAATAATAAAGAGATTGTATGTGTGTAGAGCATTTATTACAAATTCTAGAATAAATAAAACTATTACAATTTTAGAAGGCAGCAGAAGGTGGGGCTCAAACATATTCCACAAGAGGGACAACGCACTTACAGAAAAAGGTCTTTAGGCCCACCAATAAATGTGCTTCAGTTTTTAATGTATACACATGATAATAATATTAATGCTTACAAACGGATCAATGGATTCTTAAGATGGGTAATTAATAGATTCAATTTTCTAAATTTATAAATCATAGGTTGTTTATCAAAATAATGTACCTCATATGGATTTTTACGTAGAAAGCATTACAACTTAAATAGGACTAAAGTATCAAGCTCAAACAATAATTTCTCTGGTACTCGTACTTAAATTGTAATTATCTTTGTACAACTATGACACTTCTTTTTCGTGCCTGCTATCCGATATCGAAACACCATGCCACAACAGGAATCAGAACAGCCTTCTACGCATGGGAGGGAAAAATGGAAAGGGTCCCATTATTCATGCACATATAGTGCTCACACGCTAAGAGAAGTACGTTATAATTCCATCGTCTACATACAAATTCATTAAAGGATCTATCAGGCCAGCAACAGTATATCTATATCAAATATTACAATATCTTGACACTAGCAATAAGACCTTAATTCATTAATAAGCAACAAAGCCATAAAGAGGGAATGAAAAATAAAAGTGCTTAATCTTCTCCACATAAACATTTATTTTTGCCCAAATATGTGTAGAAATCCAATAAAAATATTCTATATACATGAATGAGACAAAGGGTTTTGTGTCAGATGAATAGCTCTAAAAAAAAAAACAAGTATGGCTTAGAAACGTGCGTTTAATTAGATTATCTTCTATTGAAAAGACTGTAACATGAAAATTGTACGTGCCTAATTCAAAGAAAACACCTATTTTTATTTTTAAATAAATGTATTTTTCTGATAGTTTGAACAATATTGCTTGAAAATTTATGAAAATAAGGTAGTTCCATAGTCGGCATTAAATGGAAAAAATAATCTTGAAACATCATCTGCTTTTATAAGAAAGACATATATCCTAGCAATGGAAAACAAGAGGCCATGGGCCACATCGCTCACCTGAGCACTGTGGCTAGGAAAATGTAGAATAAAAGTTCATTAGTTTAAATCCAAAAGAAGTCCCAAGACCAATCCTGGCTTTGCTATTCTTGACAAGATGATTTTTAAAGAATTTTCCTATATATGTCTATGTAAAACTTTGGTCGGCCATTGTGGCCCCGCCCTACCCCCGGGGATCATGATTTGAACAAACTTGAATCTACACTACCTGAGGATGCTTCCATATAAATATGATCAATTATGGCTTTGTTAATCTTGAGAAGAAGATTTTTAAGGAATTTTCCTATATATTTCTATGTAAAACTTTGGTCAGCCATTGTGGCCCCGCCCTACCCCCGGTGGTCACAATTTGAACAAATTTTAATCTACTCCACCTGCAGACGTTACCCCATAAGTTTCATCTTTCCTGGCACAGTGGTTCTTGAGAAGAAGATTTTTAAAACATACCACCAAATTTTCATTAATATCCAATTATCTCCCCTTGAATGAGGACTTGGCCCTTCATTTGAACAAACTTGAATCACCTTTACCTAAGGATACTTTGTGGCAAGTTTGGTTGAGAATGGCCCAGCGGTTTTTGAGAAGAAGTCGAAAATGTGAAAAGTTTACAACGACAACGACGACGACGACAACGATGACAACGACGACGACGACGATAGACAACGGACAAATTGTGATCAGAAAAGCTCACTTGAGCCTTTGGTTCAGGTGAGCTAAAAACATAAGAAAAATGATATGTCAACATGT